GTGATACCCTAGTGTCTAGGTATTAGTGTACCCTAGTATCTAGGTATTAGTGTACCCTAGTATCTAGGTATTAGTGTACCCTAGTATCTAGGTATTAGTGTACCCTAGTATCTAGGTATTAGTGTACCCTAGTATCTAGGTATTAGTGTACCCTAGTATCTAGGTATTAGTGTACCCTAGTATCTAGGTATTAGTGTACCCTAGTATCTAGGTATTAGTGTACCCTAGTATCTAGGTATTAGTGTACCCTAGTATCTAGGTATTAGTGTACCCTAGTATCTAGGTATTAGTGTACCCTAGTATCTAGGTATTAGTGTACCCTAGTATCTAGGTATTAGTGTACCCTAGTATCTAGGTATTAAGGTATTAGTGTACCCTAGTATCTAGGTATTAGTGTACCCTAGTATCTAGGTATTGGTGTACCCTAGTATCTAGGTATTAGTGTACCCTAGTATCTAGGTATTAGTGTACCCTAGTATCTAGGTATTAGTGTACCCTAGTATCTAGGTATTAGTGTACCCTAGTATCTAGGTATTGTTACTGTGATTTAGTAGTGTTAAGTTATTATCGAGTATAGAACTACCAAAGTGGAACAGTGGTAGAAGTAACTGCACTGTTTTGCACGGTTATTGATAACACTTGTCATCACTAGGTTTTTAAAACTGTGGAGTTGACAGATCACACGCTCAGTGCACACTTTACCGCACTTAACACACTTTAAACTGGTCTACTTTTCACGGGGTAACGATTCTGCAAAATTTGTAGTTTTCCCATTTATTGCGACAATGAAAAGGCTCCTATGATCAGGATGAATTTTTCCTCAGAATCATTACAACAATTCGCGGGGCTTTTATGTATCTACGTTATTGAAGTTATGTATACCATGATGTATACATGAATTGTGGAATAGCGATGATTATATTAGAATCTGAATCTTATCGCGCGTGAAAAAATATCCGACCTTCAAAAATAAATTAAAAATAAAGCTACTGTCATTTAACCTTTTAAATTATTCTTACTGCAGAGTTAGATTGGTGCCACTATCTTTCTATTTAAGCACGAATTTAAAATATCATTCTAAATTTAAACTCCTCAAACTATTCGCCCTACTGGATTACACGTGGTCCTTAATTCAATAATTAAATAATTAAATAATGGATATTATGCCTCATTCTCACAGGATACCTGACGACACTTACGTTATTAAAATATTACTGAATTATATATTACTGAATCTTGTAAACCTTACGCCAACCTTGGACTGTATATTTATAACTTTCTTGCCTGCCCTATCAAACGATCTCTGCTGGTCAATGTAGATTAATAATTCATGTAGATTAATAGTTTAGGTACATTAATAGTTTATGTATGCAAATAACTAATTTTGGAACCATATTCTGGATCAACCACCGCGTCTGGTATGACCACCTTGACATTAAGGCCACCGACCATGGTTCATATATTGGTAACCATGTATGGTAATTTTATATGACAGTCTCTATAAAAACACTTAATACTCTCAAACTTTATAATAAAAACCACCACGCGCATAACACAATCTCGCTTTATATCCATCATGATTTCTCACTTTAAAAACCACGGACACCGGTCACCTTCCGTGAATAAAACTAACCAGCGGCCATCCACCCTGACCACGCTCTAAGTTTTAATACACTCTGTATCTTGCTTCATAATGACTCGTCCAGTGCGAGAGTGCATGATTACCGTTCTCATTACAGTGCATTTTATTATGAGATTATTTTCTTTTTCTTCTCTCCAGACTTGTTATGAGTTATTATGATTTAACCTCACATTTTGAATATTTTCTCATTCTTTGAATATTTTACGAATTGTTGAGTTTTTTTTGTTGTTGTTAAGGCGACTGTCATCAAATATCTCTGTTGAATTTACACCTTTGCATATTTTGTATCGCTCTTACTGTTACTGTTAGTAATTAGTAAAGAATTGACGTGGTTCAAAACAGGCTGTAAAACATCTGATGAGGAAACCAGTCGACATTAGGCAGATTAACACGCTCTCGGACATTTTTGAGAGCGTTGAAATTCCTTACGTTCCGAACATTACGGGGTAAATAAATCAGAAAAACTATTCCGGATAAATATATAAATTATGTATTTCTAATCTGCATATAAATAATGACGTCACTGTTATGTAATCACGTTACTGTACGTGTTATGAGAACGTTTTTTACATTTAATATCCATTGATACCTCACAAGATTCACGCTTCAAGTATTGATATAAAACGGAATGTTGTCAGATGAAAACTTCCTTATTTGATATAATGGCGTTCTAAATTTCTACACTAAACCAACGAAAAAATTGTTCATCTAATCTCAAAAATTGTGTTTGTAAACCCTATCTTAACCACCCTAATTTCAGTGATTCGCCACCTCCCTCGCCCCCGCCTCCCCTTTCTGATGATCAGATAAAGATGGAAACTGTCAGTAACGACACTGGCCTCCCTAGTAAGTTAGGATTTACATTTTACATGATAATTCATAGATCAGTATAGTTTCTGATTCATTGTTAAACTGAAGGTGTTGTTTAAAGGGTCATACATAATAGCGGATTTCGTGGATATCCAGTTTTACCCAAGTAAGGCATAATTGTTATTTAATCCCAACAAACCGACCACCTACAATCTATATGCGACATGTATTATAGTGAACTAAACTTTTAGACAATTAATTAATTAGTTAATTAACAAGAATTGCGCCCGTTGTTTCGTTTTGGCGGACGCTAGATTTCCATTCACTATAACTATAAATATAATCCAATCAGCTCACTTCATAATAATAATATTGATACACATCAGTACACTATACTACGCATGCCACCTACATAAATTGGGCATATTACCTAATACTATATAGTATATACTACATATTATACATTAAAATACAGTCGCGCCGCGCATTCATTGACAGGCTAGCTGTATACATCATATCTCCGCAAGCAATACTCGCGCGCTGCACTGCACGCTAGTTGACATGGTTACTAACGGAAGTACGTACCGACGACATATTTTAACCCACCTACAACGTTCTCCAAAATCCACGTTTTTCTGCAAAAACGTCCATTCGTAACCTTTCACTATTGCCTTTTTATAAATAAAAAGGGTGAACGGAAAAAATTAATCGATATTTCCTCCTCAGGTTCCCAACCTCCCAGCTACTCCTCTTCCTCCAACACACCAGACCTCGACTTTTACCCAACTAAATACATCGACCAGACCTCCCCTCCACCAGTTCTTCATCCTCGATCACGTGACATTAACGGATCACGTGACATTAACGGATCACGTGACTTAGCAGGATCTCGTGAATTTAAAGGATCCCACGATTTTAAAGGATCGCGCGACTTCAATTTGAGGCCTTCAGCTTTCACTAAATTCTCGAGGGGAGATCCTAATGGGGACCACCATGACCCAGTCTTCGCTCCGTATCAGCAGTGAGTTATGAGTTCTTGTTGTTGTTTAAAATCTTTTCCTTTACGGTTGTTATTCGAGAAGCATCAGGATGTTGCCAATAGATTGTTTAGAATGCCGTGGAAATCATTCATTCTCCAGTACTGATTACGATAGCTATAATACTCGTCTGCAATTTCGATACTCTTATTTTTGGCTGTGCCATTCGTAGCACGATCTCAGTAATATTTCGCAATGCATATCAGGTAACCATAGTAACTGTACATCAGGTGTGAACTAATATATTTTCAATATATCTCCTATTTAACTGATTTCTTGACGATGATATCCTATAATTGTTAATTGTATTGAAATGTTTTATTAGTTTTACTTTAATGTTTTTCTTTTTTCAGATTACCCATCGCCGAGAACGGGTCCCTCAACAGTCTATCACGTGACCAGCTAAACAGCCTGTCACGTGACCACCCCAACATAAACTCGCTATCACGTGATCACATGAACAGCTTATCACGTGACCCCCGAGACCGGGTGCTCTCAGACGGTGCTATAATGAAGCAGGGCCTCCTCCACTCGGCCAGTCTCCCCCGGAACCAGTTGGGTGGGTCACAGATCAGTGGTCTCGTCTCACCGCCTCCTTACAACGGTAAGTGGGGTTTTGGTTAAAGTCTTGTAGAGGGAAGGTGATAGTGGTAGATCATATCATGTACCCTGCTGAGGCTTGGGTTGTGGTAGATCATATCTTGATTTTATTACCATTAGGAACCCATTGTTATTAGCGATAATTAAAGTTCATTGTCCTTCTTGATCAATGGACATTGGACAACAAACATATGACATATCATATGAATTTTATCTACTGGCAAGGGGCTAAGAATTTGATGGGTTATGGGAGCGCCAATAATTAATTAATAATTCGGGGGTTTTAAGAATGTGCCCCCAGACGAACCATTAGCCTGACGTCACTTAAAGAATGCAGTACTTAAAGTGGGACTGTAAAGAGAGAGATAGACCGGTAGCCCCATTAGCATGGTTGATATTAATAATTACTGGAGCTAAATTGGACATGCAAGGTGGTAAATTGCTTGTAAATTGATAAATATTATTGTGCAGTATAAGATCTCGCACCTTGATGTGTAGTGCTGAGCTTGTATAGCGCCCTTTGTGTAATAGTTTCCGGTCCTCAATGTTACGGCTTCTATTTTGTCGCTAAAAACATCGCGACCTAAAAATGCCACCTACCTGACACCTGTTGCGGTCTAACTGCATTTCAATTTGTTTGGACATCTCCTGACAGTGATTGCTTGGATGATTTCTTTTTGCCACCCGTCCATCTTACTATTCTCAGCTTTACTATTGACTCAGAAAAGCAATTCAATTTGCTCTGAACATATGAGCTCGATCAGTGAACCGATGTATATTGCATGACTACATGCACTGTTATTTTATC